CTTTTTACCAATTTTCCAGGAAAAAAAGTTATAAACTTTCAATTTCCTAATATTTTTTTCATATTCCTTTTTGGAAAATAGGGCATTTAAGTCATTTTTTCATTGCTGAGTCATTAACACAATTGATTTACTTTTAATGAATTCTGAACTAAAGAAATCATGTAATGTATGGTATTAATACAAATAATGCACGCCATCTTGTATTTAATAGGAAAAATTTTTGTGTTTTCATATGCTTCGTAATTACTTTACATATTAACATTAAAATAATCAATTATGTAATATTTTGCCAATGTCACTAGTTTAGAATTTTGTATATTATTTAGTATATTACAGAATATTGTATGACATTTTGTATTATATCTATCATTTTTGTATGTATACACATACATTTTCATATGTATACACATTATGCACCACGACCAGCCTTTTTTTGCATCTATTTAATTAATTAGAAAATTTCGAATCAGGAATTTCGGATGTGAAAATATTATTGCACATTCGTTTATCAAAAAAGTTATAATGGCAGCACTATAAAAAGTTTTACCGCCTTCCTTTTGTTTTCCCCCTTTTATAATTTTTGTTATTTTTTTTTCTATCAACAACATTTTTCAAACTTCAAACTTGTTTCTTTGTTTTGAGGGGGGATTTGACTTTAGTATTTTATTGTTTTTTTTTTTGTCTAAATTTTTTATTTTCATTGTTAAAACTTCAGATTTTATACAGTTTAAAATGATTTTAATTTATTTGGTTTTCATTTTTGTTGTAATTAATTTCAAAATCGGAAATTACTCATTCACCCATTCTAAAGTGAATATCATATCTATATTCCAAAACATTAAATTTTACGAAACACTACAATACGATATAAAAGAAACGCTATATGTACTTATGTGTAGAAGCATTTAAGTTTATGTGTCAAATTTATGTACTACCTATGTATGTACATATGTATGTATGTATTTGAAATCAAGATAAGCTGCATAATAACTTAAAAGCCAAGTTAAAAATACGCGATTGGGAATCAAATAAATGGCTTGACTTTACTTGATTTTTATTGTACATTTGATTAATATTTTTATTATGAAACGTGTTTTTTACAAGTATTATTAGAGTTTTAATTTTAGAGCAGAAAATTAAAGTTTTTTTTTCAAATAATTTTATACAATATTACATACAATAATGTATCACAATTCTGTTAATTCTAATTTAGAATGTACTAAACACATAAGCAATTCTTTTCTTCATACAGCAATCTAATGCAAAATAAAATTATAGTAAGTATGTAAATTCCTTTGTACTATTGAATTGCAAGAATTATTTTTTATAGAAAGCATAATAAGAAGATTTTTAGATGAAATTTTTTTAAACATGATGTAAGTAATGTGAACTTAATTAAACCTTATATCAAAGTTTCGTCATAATCTAATTTTTAAAAAATCAATTCCCAGTTGTTAAGCAACAAATCGTGCTTAAACCAAGCAATGCACAGATGTACATGTGCATATTCAGATTTAGAATTTACTTAGAAATGAATCATTCTTAATTCTTTTCAACTTATTCATGTTTAAATTTAATTATTTATTTAACAAAGAATAGAGGAAAGATAAAGTTGGATCAAACCAATGGTTTGTAACGAAGCAATTTTCCGTTCAACAAGTGAAAATACTGCTTTTAAAAACAACCTGTGTACTTTATTATTAGCATTAGTTTTATTCCTATACGAATATGTCTCAAATATTGCATACATTTAGGATGAGTAATGCATGTAAACTTTGAAATAAAACAAAAAAAAGAGACGTTATCATAATGCTCGAATTTAAGGGTTAATTAATTGCTCGAGTTAAGAAAGATAATTATATTTTTTAATGGGATGGCATTTATTGTTAGCTTTCTGCATTTATAGAAATTTGGAAAAGCTTGCAGTTTCGAAAATATAAGGTGGCGAAAATTCAAATTTTAGAAATTTCGGGAGGCGATAACTTGAGAGGGGGTGAAAGTGGAAAAGAACTTTCTTCTAACGAAAAAAGATATTTATAAATATCTAAGAGTTGCTAAAATTTTAAAATCCTACAACATGCGGTCTAGAAGAAAAACGATATCAAAAATTTGTAAAAAACGGATTTTAGATAGCGGTAAATTTCAACGGTAATTTTTTAAAGCTTAAATATGGTATGCCTACGGTAAATTTGTAACCTACCTAGAAAATTTAATGACATAAGAAACTGGTTCGAGGTTATCACCAACATCATGCACCAACCCTGTGCACCTCCCAGGAGCGAAGTAGGATGTAAAAAAAAAAATGGTATGTCGCGGTAAAAGAAACGTGTCGCTACTTTTCTGCCTTTGCAGAATTAAAAAAATGTGTCTGATTTTGTCACAATAATTATTTAAAAAAATAGTATTTTCAGGATTTTGTAGGATTATAATTTTTAGAGGGGGGATGATAGATAAAAACTTTCTGCTATGAAAATAAGTTTCTTGTAAAGATCTATGTAGTATTTATTATGTATGAAATTTGAACTTTCTATCTTCAAGGAGTTTTGTAAGCATGTCAACGGTCAGAAGGACAGAGGGAAACAAGCACTTTTTTACTTTTTTTTAAAGTTTTTAAAATAAAAGATGTATGTATGTTCTTTTGGAGTAACACCGTTACAAATATAGATAGTGAAACACATCTCACGGTGAGAAACTTTACTTTCTATCATTTTAGCTTGCAATTTCTATTTCAATAAGATTTTTAAAATTAGAGTGAATAAATTCGATGCAAACAAATAATTTGTACTTGATTACCGTCAATTGGATCAAAATTGGAACAATAAGTAGAGAAGTATAAATTTCAGGAGTTTTAAATACCACTATAATTGAATTTGATAAAGCCAGTCATAAAAGTCAAGAAAGCTTTAAAGCATTTTAAGCGAAAACTTCTAAAGTTAAAGGTAAAATTTTGCAAAATTTTTAAATAACAAGTTGAAACTTTCAAGGTCCACTGAAGGTTAAGTGACATCATGATAAAGTCTCTACGAAATTCTTCGAGGTCAAGTGTAAATGATATTATTTACCGTTAAATAGGATAATCCACTATAGGAATTTGTAAAAGCATTGATATGGAAATATACGTAATTAGAAAAATCACTTTTTTTTTCGAAAACTCTGCTCATCAAAATAGATATTTCATAAATTGCAGAATACGACAAAATTAAAAATATAATATTTATTTTCATTGGTTTTGTTTTAATATTTTTGTCATTAATATAAAATAAAGTTCGAGGCACAATTGACTTAGTCACATAATATGGTGAAAAATATGTGCTTATAAATTAAAATTTAACTAAATTATTTTACTGGACTTAAATTTACAAAGTTCATTATGAGCTCGTAACTCCTTAAGATTGCTAAAAGTTTTTCTGACTGATTGAAAAAGAAATTTTCAAATTTTATGACCTGATTTGTTTACACCATCGTATTTAATTTATTTTCTTCTGTTTAGTGCAACGTTTTTAAAATTCATAAAAATCATTTATTTGCATAAATGGAACATTTTTTTTCTCGTTATAAAGAATAGCTTTTAAAAACTTTTAAAATACTTCCTAATTTTTTTATTTTTTACGTTAAGTATATTACTTAATATGCAAAATGACTCATAAGACGGGTGTATATCTTATGTACGTACATGTGCAAATGCATGTATAATTTAAAATATTGTTTTTCATTATGTTCTTGCTTTGTTGCTCTACATTTTAAAAAATAATCTTTTTATTAAATTGTTAATTGCTATCAAAGTATATCTACTAATAAGTAATTTGACTCACGGCTTACACAAATCTAATGCATTTTTTTCTACACACACCATCATACAAATATCCCTTGTTGTTAAAAATCCTAAAAACTATTTTAGTTTTTCCGAAATTTGCGGTGCATAGCAATTGTTTTGAGAGAGAAAAAGGTGCCTATCAATTTTTTTTCAAAATGCTTTTTTAGATGGGGACTTTTAAGCGAAGTTTTTCATTTTTCTTGCTTTATTCCCATATAACTATAATGAAAGAAATGCAACGTATTTTAAATAGCGAGTTCCATAGTTTTTATTGTTTATTCTAATGTCAAAAACTTCCGATGTTCGGCCTGTGTTTTTGTTAGCAGCAATAAAAATTTGGAAAAAAAAATTTTACATAATATTAATGTTTAAAATATATATATACTTAAGTAACAAGAATTTATTATACTTGCTCACTTTCTTAAGGCGGATAATTTTTAAAACAAGTACAAACTAAAAGTGAAAACTTGCAAAGAAACACCTTGAAGGCCTTTTTTAGTTTAAATACCGATACAAAATATTTGCTTAAACTGCCAATTGTTACAAAAGCAAGAAAGAAAGCAAGTGTTTGCTTCTCAGAATTGATTTGCAATTGAAATTCGATTCGTTTTTTTTTCACAAATTTACAATATTATCTTAATTATGGTGAACTGTCCGCCGAACTGAATTACTATAAAATGATGAGAGGCAAATTAAACTGATAAAAAGGGGATGCTTTAAAAAATGGATATTTGACATACATATATATTTTCAATTGACATATTTATTTTCTATGTTTCTTTGGCATATTTATTTTCAACTTACTATAATGAATGACTACTCTTTTACGTTATGCTTCTATTTTCAAGTTCAGTCAGAGCAAAGCTTACAAATCTTATACAATTATTATTGCTTTATCTTATGTATGAAGCAATGCTAATCAATTTTAAAAAAAGAGAAAAAGACTTATGATTATGTCAAAATAGGAAATGATTATGTCAAAATTTCTTGCATTATGTCAAAATTTTTTCCTCAGCTAAATGTAAAATGTTGACAAGAATCTGACCACTTTTCTAATTTCTGTTTTAAACTTTGTGATAACAATTTTTAAAGCTAAATCATCTCTAGATTCCAGAGTGTTCTCAAAGTTGGAAAATATATTTTGAAAGTAAAAGCATATAAAGTGATAAAGTTTTAAGGTACTTACATGCTTCCATTAATAAGAGCTTCGAAAATCGTTAATAATTGCCACAGATTTTTAATCTAATCTTTCATTTTGCGTTGCAATATCTATTCATTTAAATATGCAGTGTGTTTACATGTCTGAAAAATAAAAAAGAAATATTCAACTTTAATACAAAGTTAGCACAAAATCTTTATTTAATTTTTGAGTTTCAATGCACATGTTTTTTTTTATATAGAGTCCTTTCGAGCATTATAAAAACTCGAGACAAAATATTCATTAGTATTTCTAATTTAATATTTAATTTCAATATCAAATTTTTGTAAAACTATTGAATAGTCTTTATAATTATGCAATATTTGTAAAGAATTCAAACAAATGTAAGCGATTATTTTCTTTTAAAAATATATTATTGTAGAAGCGTTGGTTGTTTATTACTTTCTTGTGCATTGAAATACACATTATCTGTGGGTACAAGTGAAAACTTCTTGGAAGTTATTTGAATAAAATCGAGTTATATTAATATCTAAATTTCCCGTGTTTAAATTTAAAATTCAAATTAATTTGGTTTGAAAATTTTTTATATTAAAAAATTGAAAGCGAGAAATACCTAAAAAATTTGACGAAATTGTTTTTTTTTAATTCAATGCGATTTTGTGAACCTCGGCAAGCTTAAAATAAAGTTAATAAAAGATCTAAGCCATTAATAAAAAATGAAATTTCTCTCTAAATTTCGTTACTCTAAATTCGATAAACTCGGCTTTAATTACTGTAATTGAAATAGCAAAACCTTATTCTGAAGCAATTTTGCCATGGTACCATAGATATATTTAAAATTACCTCTTACTTACATACTTATATTTGAATTTCATTATAAAAATACGTAGGTATAGTTTAACTATTAAATAGTGATATTTATATAAAATTACGAACTTACATATAATTAAAAACGTAATCTTACACGCACACATATGTATATAAGAATATCTTGTAATATACCTAAGTATACGATATACAATATGTTTATAACTATATTTATATGTTCAAGATAGATAATAAATATTATAAAGTAAAAAAATTTGCATACAAAACATACAATATCTGTTTCTGAAGTAAGCATATTATTAAAACCATTAACGACTGCCACAATTCAACAATAAAACAGAAATTATTCCAAAAAGTAAATAACAAAAAAATTAAAGCGAAATGTTATAAGTATGTGCTTGCGTACATACATATACATACATTTATGTATAAAAACAAGCTGTAGAATATAATTCGAAGCAAAACAGAGGAAGAAAATCGCGATCGCATTTAAAAGCTTCAATATATTATTATTATTTATAAATATACCTATGTATGTATGTATACATGCATATGTAACTTGGCGATACCATTACTAAATAAATTTGTATCAAACCAATGGCTAATAAAGTAGCACTTTTCCGTTCGACAAGTGAACATACTGTTTTTAAAAACGGTCTACAAAATATTAATATTATTTTTATTAATATATGAACCAAAAAGTGGTTATGATTAGATCTTTACTTTTATAAAGATTTATAAAAGTTTTTAATAAAAAAATTTTTCTTTTATAAAAAGCATATTCCAGAAACGAGCTAATTTAAACTGCCATTTTGCCATTGTAATTTTTAATTATATTGATTCGCGCCAGAAGAAATTAATCGCTATTCTTTTGCTTGCAGAATTTAAAATTGTTTGTGATTCCGATACAATGAGTGGTCAAAAGACCGCTTTTTTGGGTTTTGAGGGGCTATTACTTTCAGAAGGGGGAAGTAGATAATAATTTTCTATCACAGAGATAAGCAAAAATCTATTTGTACACAATATTTCAACTATGTATCTAAAAGGATGTAGAAGGGTGTATTGAAGTCTTGCAATACAGATACACGGAAGGATGGACGGACGACTGAAATGATAGTAAAATTTTTTTCCAATATTTTTTTTTTTTTTTAAAATACTAAAAATAACAAAAAGAAGTGAAAAAATCTTTAAAATATTCATTCGATTCTAATATCGCTGAATGATTCGATATTTTTGCTGAGTTAAACTTTAAAAATTATTTTTTTAAGATTTTATGTCGCTTATGTTTTTTGTATTTTTGTATTTTGCTTATGTTTTGACTTTTAGTTTGATTTCTGTGTTTGTTTCTTATATTTCACATTATTTTTTCTTCTTCTTATGAATAATGGAAAGCGAACTAGCACGAGATGTGTGCCCCCGATTTATTATTGTAATAATACGTTTGTGCCTTTATTAAATAAGGGTGATCATATGCTTCTTGATTTTTAAAGGAACCTATTCTGTTTGAATTAAATTTCAAAAACTTAGAACAAAAATTTCGTCGATATTAATTTTAATTCGATTAGCGATTCCAAAAAGAGTCCATTAAAAACGTCTTCTAAATTTATTGAATATCTAAATTTTAATTTTAAAAGAAAAAAAAATTGCTTGAATGTAATAAATTATGTAATAAATCTAAGGTTGCATAAAGGCTCCATTTTAAAAAATTTAATGTGTAGACTATGTTTTTCTTATCCCACAACTTACTCACAAATTCAAAAATGTTTATGAAATAGGGATTTTAGTTTTTACCTGAAAACCGAAAATTCTTCTTCCTACAATCAAGTTATGTTTGTATTTCGAAAAATATTTTAGATTTCACCGAGCTCGCAAAGTTTGAACTATGTGTTCATTTTATTTTAAGCATTTTTTATTCAACTTTGAAAAGCCATTAAAAGAGACAGCTCTATTTTCTTCACTTTTTAAATCTAACCTTTGATTACATTTTTTTCATCTGATCAGATCAAAATGTGCTTTGACAATTTTTAATCTAATCAGACTCAATTTCCGAGCTAAAAAGCAAGAAGTTGGGACTTCTATGCAAAATCCGATCTCTCGCAAAATTTATTCACATTTCTATTAAATATTTTGATTATATTTTTCTATTAAATTTATTAACATTCAAAGATAATTGATATTTTGATTTAATATTTTAAAAATTTCAATCTGCTTTCAATGATTTGCGATAAGGTTCAAAATTTCAATACAGTGACTGTAAATGGAAAGTTTTAAAAAACTACGCGTATTCGGAAATATGTATCTTTAATAGCAGTCTACTGCGCATAAATGAAAAATTTAAAACTAGTAAATGACGTAATTAAATGGCAAAAGCGGACGCTAAATACTCTATAGAAAAAAAAAGAGTAAATAATCTTTTACAAAAAGATTACTTAATCTCTCTAATATTAACTTATATACAACTTAAAAAATCAAATCAGAACTTCGCTTTAACTGAAAATTAAAGATGATATACGTACATACGCAAAAGTAACCTCATTCTTCCAAATTCCCATATTCTTATTCCATGTCCCATATTCTTATTATAACTTGATACCAGCTGCCTTTATAAATATACATACATATGTATTATACAATATCTTATGAATTAAAATATTTTAATTTAAGTTTTTCCTTTCGTGGTCTTATTTTGTTTAATCATCGATTTGAATATTGATTTTTATCCCCGACATATCATTTTTGTAATGATACACAAAAAAGTAGATGCAAATCCTGTTAAAATTCTGTGAAAGTTTAATGTCCACTCTCCCAATTATTCTAATTTGTAGAAGGGTTCACTAAATTTATATGCATACTTGTATATATGTATATGTACATATAAATGTGCAAATGAAATATGGTATGAAATACATATTGATCGGTTTGGGCTCCACAATTCTGTCATCATATTACTGTGTATTAGATATGGTCACCTTTATTGCATACCTTTTTGTTAAATGTACGACGAACAAGACGATAGAAACAGAAATGAAAATTTGATTACCCTTTTTGTCGTCTTTTCCTCTATCGATTCCGAAATATACTGGATTTTCACGATTACTTTTCTTTGTTTTTTGATTTTATGGACTTTTGCAAACTTCCTAATATCATGCAATATTCTTCATTATAATTGAATAATTTTTAAATTTTTGAAAATCAGTTAAATTTTTTTATTGTGTGGCTATTAGCTATTAAGGTTTTTTAAAATTTAATTTTTTTTTGAAATTTTATAAAATATTTAAAAAGACACAAACACAATGAGCATGTTGATCAAAAAAAAAATTTTTTTGTAAAAAGAAATAGAACACTAAGTTTAAGTTAATATAAAAAGACTAACACACTGCTTAAATTAATTAAGAAATGCATGCCGTTTGATTATTGGTTATAAGTTAGTTCATTCCGCTGACGATATAGGAGCTTACTCTCTTAGATAATGACTCTGTTTGTCTAAAAGATTAATTGTTGCCTGTAAATCTGCTTAATAAAAGTTTTATTCTCAAATCTTTAATCTCTGAAATTTGATCAATTTTTCTCATTAAAAGAAAAAGTCAGATTTTTGAAAATCACGTGAAGAGACAACAGCACATAAACTGTTTTTCTTCAGTAGATTTTAAAAGATGCATTTGTAAAAATTTTGTATAAAAAACATTCGTTATTAAGAGTTCAAATAATTTTATTCGTTTTTTTTCCTTTAAATAAAACTTTTTAATCGCTACTAAATGGAAATAATAATTAAAATGCAATAAAAACCCTTTACAAAACCATTCTCTTCAGAGACATATCAAGTGAACAAATAATCTAGAAAAAGTTAACATACAAAAATGATCGTTTATTTAACACCTTTACATATTTGTGTTGCTTATTTGGTTGATTACACAAAAAACAACTCGAAATTAAATAATAAATATTTGCAAGATCACTTCCCTTACACATAACTTCTAACACTAATATTATGGCTTGCTCAAAGGGTTTAAACAGGAAGTATTCAAACAGAATTTAAGTTTAAAAACAAGAAACGGATGAGTTTAAAAAAATTTTCTGCCGCACATGTACATAGAATTTATTTTTGCTATTTTTCTTTTTAATTTTATTAATTTTTATTGCACTCCTTTTCGTAAGGTTGCAACACGTCTATTTCCCATTTACTGTCAAGTTGCTCGCAATATATTCTATATACAAAATTGGTGAATTTTCAATATGTACTTATATATGTGTATGAACAGTAGATATAAGATTTTAAAGGAATTGAAGTGAATCAACCAAAGTCATCGCAAATTAT